TGGCCCCAGGGCGTGCCGGGAACCTCCGCACATTCACCAGGTGCAGCCTGGAGTGGGGGTGACTGGCTGCTGGTCTGCGCAGCCTGGTGGGGGTGACTTGGGGTGCACCGCCGGTCTCAGCTGGTGCCTACCTAGATAGCGTGGTCATTTAGTCAGGCAAGTAAATAACCGGGAGCCCCTTGGAGCGGGGACTGCCCAGCTAGGTCTCCCTGCGCACTGTCCACCCTGGAACTTCCCCCACCCCGAGCGGGCCCGAGGCCTGTGCGGACCTGGGCCTGCCCAGAGGCTGGCGGCGTCACTTCCCGGGGGTCGGCCTGGTCTGGGGGGGACAAGTCTGAGGGCGGGGTTGGCTCGTGAGGTGAGCTGTGCTCCCCTCTGCGTTTGGGGGTGCTCCTCGCTGGCCAAGGTGGGGGCGCCTATCGCCCCTAAGGGTGACTGTCGGGCCCCCTGGGGCTTGTTCCCGTGCAACGCTCCTGAGTCTCCTCTTTCTCTTTCAGGAGGAGCGAGCTGAGCTGGAGGCCGCACTCCTGGCACGCCACCAAGTTCTGCGACGGCCCCCCCGAGGCGGTGATGGTGCCCTTCGCCCCTGCGGGCGGGGGCCCCTCCTGGCACGGCCGGCACCACGCCAGGTAGGCCTCCCCGGCTGGGCTGGAAACATGGCCCTGAGGTGCCTGATGGCAAGACGCCCGTCTCCACCCAACACTGCGGCGGGAGGGCTTCAGAGTGGGGACAGTTGGAGGACTCCGACCCTGGGCGCTGGCTGGACACGTGGGCTTCTCCTTCAGGGCCCGGGGCCTCGTCTGGGAGGTTCTGGGGTGACGGTCCAGCTCTCGGTGCTGCCGTTAACCTGGAGCTCACCCGGCCCCGCTGGGAGCTGCTGTCTGCTCACCCAGCCTGCAGTTGGTTTGACCCGGAGGGCCAAAGTGGGCAGCCCCTGAGCGGTCATTCTGCTCGGTGGGCAGCGTCCTCAGCTGGTTTAGAAGGGCAGCAGGAGCACAGCTCTGCTGTGAGTGTGAGCGTGTTTGCCTGCATGTGTGCGCGTAGAGCTAAAAAGCCATTTGTGGGGCTCCCTGGTGGCACAGCGGGTTAGGACGCAGCACTGCAAGCTCACCGCAGCCGCTTCAGTGAGAGTTCGATACCCGGCCCTGGAGGTGACCCCCATGGCTGGCAGACCTCTCCTGTCTCCCCACTGCTCCCCTCAGCAGTGTACTTCGTCCATCCGCCTGTGCTCCCCACTCTGTCTGTGGTGAAGTCTCTCACCGCCCATGCCCCTCTGGCTTGTTCCCCAGATCTGTATGAATAAATAAAATTTTTTTAAGCCATTTGGCCCAAAACTAGATGACTGGATTAAAAAGATGTGGTCCATAAGCACGATGGAATATCACGCAGCCATCAAAAAGGATAAACACAGGCCTTTGACAGCAACATGGATGGAGCTGGGAGGGATCATGCTTAGTGAAATAAGCCAGAAAGGAAAGGAAAAATACCAGATGGTTTCACTCATAGCAGGAGTACAAAGGACCAGGGGAGAAAATAATGATAACAATGAACAACTCTATACCAGAGACATTTTACGGGGGCCGGGTGGGGTGGGGAATGGGATCAAAAATGGTGGGGGGAGGGAAGTGCACTGGACCATGGTGATGGCACACGGGTCATCTAGTGATGGGAAGCCCACGGGGGTTACAACTGAGATGGAAAAATAAACAAACTATTATATTATCTAAAAAAACAATCCACCTGTGGTTGTCAGTAACCCTGGCTGTTGCCCAGTCCTCAGCACTTCCGTGCCGTGAGGGGAACGCAATTCTGAGTACGATGTCGCCTATCTAAAGCAACCAGAGACGGTGGTATTTGCAGCTCAGCTAGGTCTGAGAAGCCATAATTTGTGCAGCGAGTGGGAAAACTTGAGTGGAACGTGGGCTTGGGTGTCCTTGGGACAGGGACCGAGAGGCGGCTCCTGCTGTGAGCCTGCAGGCAGGTCCCTGGGCAGGGAGGTGGCAGCTGCTGCCTCTGTGTGGCGTCTACATGGCATCTGCGTGGGCCCGGGGTCTGCCAGAGAGACCCCCGGGGACGGTGTCAGCATGACAGGGGCGCTGGAAGGGACACGGGTGCCTGGAGGGGACCCTCCGTGTCACTGGGTGGGGGGTTGGGGCCCTTCGCGTCCTGCTCTCTGCCAGGCCCGAGAGTAGCCAGGTCTTTGGTCTGCACCCTCGGAGAAGCTATGGGTGCCAGCTGTCCCGACCGCCGCCTGCCTCACTGCCGCCACAGCTGCGGGTCCCTCCGGGCCACCCGCAGCGCCTCGCCGTGCCGTGGGGCAGCACCGGTGTGTGCGTGGCACCGTAGCCACGGCACTGTGGTGGCCCGGGCAGAGTGCGGGCTGTGCACGCCCCTCCCCGGCGTGATGCTCGCCAGCAGCCGCACTGCCCGCCTCGCAGACCCAGGGCTGGTTCTGCGGTGAGCCGAGGAAGCAGGTCTGTGCGTCAGTCACTCAGCAGCGGGCTCCGGAGTGCCAGAGCCTGTCGCCTGGGGTCTCCAGGCCAGCTCTGACTCCGGAGGGGGTGCTGTGCACCCTGGGACATGCGACTGGGGACATGGATGCTGGCCCCAACTCGTCAGGTTACGTGGTTTTCATATGAAAATCATTCTTTCCGTTGCTGGGTTTTTTTCTTGTTGAAGGATTTATTTATTGATGCCAGAATTGGGGGGGGGCAGTGAGAGGATGGGAGGACTCCCCAGAGACAGAGTGGGGAGCAGAACCAGCAGATGGATTGAAGTCCACTGCCGAGGGGAACAGCGGGGAGACAGGAGTGGGCTGTGGCACCCTGGGGGTCACCCCCCGGCTGGGGGTGCTGCAGGGGCTGCGGGTGGCTTCACAGTGTTGCGACTCACCCCTTGTGCCACCAGGGAGGCTAATTACTTTGTGTGGGTTCGTCACAGGGACACACATTTCCGACGGTGGCCCGGGGCTCCGCAGAATGACTGTGTGAAGGGCCAGGCCACAGACAGCATCTTGTGGCTCAGTGGCCACTGCCCGTGGTAGCTCAAGCATAGGTGGCACTGTGGCCCAGCGGCCCAGCTGTGGCCCAGCCACAAAGACATGTGCGTCTCCTACGATTTCTGTGGGCCGTGGAATCGTTTTAGAATCACTCCCGCCCCTCAGTTAAAAATCTCCAACTTGACTGGATCAAAAAGATGTGGTCCATATACACGATGGAATATTACTCGGCCATGAAAAAGAGAAACACATGTCTTTTGCAGCAACATGGATGGAGCTGAAAAAGATCATGCTTAGTGAGATAAGCCAGAAAGAGAAAGAAAAAATACCGGATGGTTTTGCTCATAGCAGGAGTATAATGGATCAGGCGAGAAAATAATAATAATGATAATGAACAGCCATATAGCAGAGACATTTTATGGGGTGGAGTGGGGACTGGGATCAAAAACAGTGGGGGTAGGGAAATGCAGTGGAGTGTGGTGATGGCGCACGGGTGATCTGGTGATGGGAAGTCCAAGGGGGTTGCAACTGAGATGGCAAAATGCCCAAAATGACGTAAAAATAAACGATTATATTATTTTTTGAAATAAAATAAAAAATAAAAATCTCCAACTACTGGGCCCTCCCTGGTGACAAAACGGGTTAAAGCACCGCATTATGAAGGTCTCTGAAGCCCCTGCAGGCACGAGTTCGATCCCCAGCCAGGGAGTGACCCACAGGGCTGGCAGACCTCTTCTGCCCTGCCCGCTGCTCCCCTCAGCAGTATATTTCAGTGGATCCTCCTGTTCTGCTCCCCCCTCTGTCTCTGGGGAATCCGCTCAACAACCACACCTCGGCCCGTACCCCAGTTCTGGAAGCATTACTAAATCCATCTTTAAAAAAAATCTGCCAGCCCCTTGCCGACCTGGCGGGTGTGCCGGCAGAAGCTGTCAGCAGTGAGCAGCTGAGGGGGGCCCAGAGGGCGCTGAGATGCCCTGGGCGGCCACCTTTGGGAAGGGCCCCCCAACCCTCCTAGGCTCCGCCGCCTCTCTGCTTCCCCCTGCCGACACCTGACAGTAACGCGCCCTCCGTGTGTGCTTCTTCTCGTGCCAGCTCCTCCTCACACGACCTGTCCGGCGCTTGGGAGCCGTCGAATCTGCAGCGCACCTCTGACCACTTCAGCTCCCTGGGGAGCGTGGACAGCCTGGACCACCCTTCCCAGCCCTCCGGGCGACTCTCGGCCGCCAAGTCCAGCAGCAGCATCGACCACCTGGGCGGCCCGAGCAAGCGCGACTCGGCGTACGGCTCCTTCTCCACCAGCTCGGGCACCCCTGACCACACCCTGCCCAAGGCCGACGCCTCCTCCACGGAGAACCTCCTCTACAAAGTCGGGCTGTGGGAGGCCTCCAAGCCGGGCGGCCGGCAGGGCCAGGCCGGAGACGCCGCGGGCCCGGAGGAGCAGCTCGGGCACTTCCCGCCCAGGGCCGCCAGCGACCGCAGCAGGAGCCCCAGGCCCGAGGGCAGCCTGGAGCCCAGGCCGGCCAGCTCTGCG